ACAATGTGAAGAAGTAGAAGAAGAAAAAAACCAGCAATTATTTGCTGGTTTAGCTGTATCCAAGACGAAAGCTGATGTGAGCCCGCAAGTGGCAGTGACTGAACCAGTGAGTTTCCCTTTACAGAGTAGTTTTATCTCTAGTCCATGGGATCATGGAACCAAATCCAGAAAATCCCAACTTGATTCTCACCCTAAAATTGCACTGTCTTGTTCTAGCAATAGACATAAAACTGACGCGTTTCTGGGTTTATCTGATGGTAAGCTTGTTAATGATGTTATTCAAGAAGTGAAAGCTCTAGATAATGAAGTTAATTGTGATGGAAAATTTAAGGGAAAGATAGAACTATCAGGAGCCAAGGAGGCTGCGACTAAGGTTTATAAGGAAGATACTATTGAATTAACTGAGTTGCCATGTGAGAGAGAGAAGGAACATAGAATGAGTCATACCCGAATGGCCGAGAGATCGATTCCTGAGCATGAGTTGCGAAGGCTTAGGAACGTAGCTTTGAGGATGCCTGAGAGAATGAAAGTTGGCCCTGCAGGTATAACACAAGCCGTGGTTGATGCCATTCATGAGAAATGGAAGATTGATGAAGTGGTAAAGTTGAAGTTTGAAGAGCCTCTTTCTCTTAACATGAGAAGGACACATGAGATCTTGGAGGTCAGTGTTTGTTCCTCTTACTTGAATTGTCTAATGTTCGCCTGAACATGTAACCTTCTCTTTTAATGATTTTTGAGCTTCTAATAAGTTTGATAGTTCTTTTGTGCTTAAAGTGGTTTATGATATTTTGTTTAGTCGATGTGTTTAAAATAAACTTCTGAAGTGAATTAAGTTCTATGTTCAGAGTAAAACCGGGGGTTTGATTATATGGAGATCTGGCAGCTCTGTGGTGTTGTACAGGGGAATGACATACAAACTTCTTTGCGTTCAATCATATACTAAACAGAATCAAGTCGATAGAGATAGTCTACAAGATCTCAAGGATGTTGCTCTTGATGCAATGCAAACTATAGGAGTGAAAGATTCTGTTAGAACTACCAAATCGTATGTGCCTGATTATGCAAAGTATCTGAATGATTTTTCCAAGGAAGAGCTGAGGGACTTGTGTGAATTGAACCATTTGTTAGATGAATTAGGGCCGCGATTTAGAAATTGGACAGGCCGGGAGCCATTGCCTGTTGATGCAGATCAGCTCCCTCCTGTGGTTCCTGGATATAAGCCCCCATTTCGATTTCTTCCTTATGGAGTAAGGCCTTGTTTGCGAAACAAGGAGATGACTGATATTCGTAGGCTTGCCAGGACAGTGCCTCCGCATTTTGCACTAGGTATGTAAAGCTTGTGTATGTCTGTGGACATGTCCGCCAAATCCTTCCTTCTTCACCCTATCACTTAGTGTTTTCTGCTCAAATATTGTAGGACGGAACAGAGAGTTACAAGGACTGGCTAAGGCTATGGTAAAGCTGTGGGAAAGAAGTGCTATTGCAAAGATAGCCATCAAGCATGGTGTAGAAAATACACGTAATGAGAGAATGGCAGAAGAACTTAAGGTGTGAAGGAGACCAAATATTTTTTCAATTTGTTTGCAAAATTCTCTAATATGCTCCTTATGCTTTGCAAAATTTAGAAAAGGAGTGTGTATTCAAATCTCATGCACGGATATTGTGTTCCTATTTCAAAATCTTTTACAGAAATTAAAGAGAAATGAGTTAGCACCTTAGATTGTCTTTGCTGTTCCGGTGGTTGGTTCAACCCTGATGCCCTCAACAACTCATGCTTTGGTACTGACTCTTCCGTTCTATTTGTGTTTCATGCATGCAGAAGTTGACAGGGGGTATACTACTTTCAAGAAATAAAGACTTCATTGTATTCTATCGAGGTAATGACTTCCTGCCACCTATTGTTAAGGAGCTATTGACAGAGAGGCAAAAGGTGACAGAGGAGCAGTGCAACGAGGAAGAACAAGCACGACAGATAGCTGCAGCCTTGAGTGTATCAACTAGCAAATCTTCTAACAACCAGCTGGTTGCTGGCACCTTTGCTGAGACCATAGCTGCAATTTCCCAGTGGGGAAAACAACAAAGTAGTGAAGATGTGGAGGAAATGATGAGAGATTCAGAAATTGCCAAACAAGCATCATTAGTTAGATACCTTGAGAAAAAACTAGCTTTTGTAAGTATTAGTCTGTATTAAATATAACAGAAAAAGATTTGTGGTCTGGTCGTGTAAAAGGTCTTTACCTTTTCACTGAAAAGATCTTTCTGGCACTCTATAACACCAATGTTCTTATGGTTCTAGGCGAAAGGAAAGTTAAAAAAGGCTGAGAAGGCTTTAGCAAAACTGCATGAGTATCTCGAGCCAGCAGAGCTTCCAAATGATTTGGAAACCATTAGTGATGAGGAGAGGTTTTTATTCCGTAAGATTGGTTTGTGTATGAAGCCTTATCTGCTTCTAGGTAAAAATAGATATCTTAATCCTACTGGTAGTTTCTTTTTTTTTTTTTGGTGCTTATAATGGGATAAAACATGCTACCTCCCTCCTCGGAAAGCTTACTGATAACTGCGCCCAACAGCCTGATCTAATTGTCTTAAGGGAAATAAAAGTAAATCTGTTGTTTTTGTTTCAGGGAGG